AAAAAATAAGGGGGTGACAGACGGAGTAAAGAAAGACATACCAATTACTCTGAATATTTACATAAAGTACTTGTAAAACATGCATTATTACATTTGAGCTATATACAAACAAGGCGGATCAATAACTGATATGAAAGCAGTTTGAAAGTAATGGTCCAATGTAAAGGGGAAGAAAAGTCCTGAGTGCCTTGATCAGATTGTGTTAAATCCTGCCCTTCTTATATATCACTCAGTGTCATTCATTTCTTTGTGCTCTTTCAGTAGATTGCTGAAAAATACAGTCTAAAGCAGGCTTGATCTAGAACAGGGTTCTCAGAAGACTTCTGTCAGGATTCTGCAAATGAGCAGCCAGGGTTCCAATGCAGCCCAACGCTGCTTTCCAGTCCGGGCTTGTGGGAGACAATGCAGCTAAAAAGAAATAGAAAAGACTCTAACACTTTTTCAGAGTCAGGCATGTCAATCCCTGGTCTCCATTCCCTATAGTTCTGCTTTATCCGAGGAGAAACTGATCAAGAAAGAGTGACTTCTCCCAGGCTGGACTCCATTACTTTCCCATGATGCTCTGTACCTCATAAAGGATTATTAAGGTTATTAATCCTTAAATGAAAAAGACCAATGAGATGGTTACAGGTATGCCAAGTTAATAAACACCATTTTATTTTGGTACTTGCAGAAAAAGCCCTTATTTTTCTACCTCATTTTGGTGGAAGTATTATTCTTTCTTCAATATATCATGAAGACTGGTTAATTTCTAAAATGTTTGAAAATGGTTTAAAATGATAATAATACAAGTAGACCACAAGATATATCAGAAAGTGGATTACATTCATATAAATATTTGGTCAAATAACTTTAGTCAATAAATGGAAATTACATACTCCCTAGTGTACAGTGCACACATAAGAATTGTTATGAGACTATTCATCAAGTATCTCTATAAAGCTCCCTATGCCTTTCTACCACTATTTCTAAATAGGGCCACTTTTTTGCTAATATTCTTTATAAACATTCTTTCACTTACGGTGAGGTACAGGCCAGTAACAAACCCTGTTCTTGACAATTTTGTGCTGGTCATCCTAATGAAATTTCAGGTGAGTTTCTACAAATAAGGATTATTGTTTTCTGAGATCCACATGGATAGAGTTAACACCTAGTACTTTGTGCCAAACACCCACTGTTCCAGGCATGTTATATATAACAATTCTCAAAACAAGTCTATTAGAGGGCTACAAGTAGCTTAGAAAGAAGAGGAGGAGCAAGGGAGTTCACTTAGCCATTACTCAGCAAAAATTAGTTTTTATCTAAAATGTCTACATGCAGTAAGAAAAATATCTAAACAGACAATATGAAAATAAATTTCCTAAAATTAATACTTTTTTCATATGTAATAATATGGGCTTCCTATCTATAGAAGACAAATTCTATTCCCCTTCTGATTCATATACCCTAAATTAGTTCAAATTTTGTCTGCTAGTAAGAGTTCAAAAGGAAGAGCAAATATAAACTACACCTTTCTTTTAGACTAGGCATAGCTAATTTATTGGCTTTGACACCCCGGTGCATTGGGCTTAATTAGGTCACAAAACCCTAAACAACCACTGGAATCCTACACCACCCCTCTGTAAGAACTTTCTGAAGTTTTTCTGTTTTTAACTTTCATTTCATTCTTTAGAAAGCTTCCAGATGAACTAAAAAAGAAAAGTAAAATGAGAAGGAAGTCAAAAGCTGCAAAAGCTGACAAGACCATACTGGGATTAAACCCTCATGGAGAATGTATGAAAACTTATAGAATACAGACATACCTGAAGAACCAATTGGAGCAAAGTGACATGGGATTTTCTGAGAAATGGTGAATTAGGGACAACAAGCACCACTCTGTTTTCACTGTAGTTCATACGAAGGCCTGGGATACCCACAGGATTGTATACTATAGAAAACTAGAAAATGCTAAAATGGAGTGAAAATAGGTGCTGCTGTTATGCTAGTTCACGAAAACTAACTTATAACTGGTCTATTGGCTATTTGCTTTTGAAAAGAAGATTTGAGAAGACTAAGTCCACATTTTCTTTGAGATTAACTTCTGTAGGCCTTCATGGTTTCTCTCTTGATTCAGGACACTACCATTCTAATGATATACCCCAACTCTCTAATTCCGCCTTTGTGCTGTCACTAATCACCTAAGTAATAGAGAACCTTCAATTGTTTGGTTTCTTCTTCTTCTTTTTTTTCAAAGAGAGAGAGAGAGAGAGAGAGAGAGAGAGAGCAAGCACAGGAGAGCACAAGCAGGGGGGAAGCAGTAGAGGGAGAAGGAAAAACAGGTTCCCCGCTGAGCAGGGAGTCCCATGTGGGGCTCCATCCCAGGACTCAGATCATGAATTGAGCTGAAAGCAGTTGTTTAACCAACTGAGCCACCCAGGCACCCCTGATTGTTTGGTTTCTTAATGCTCACAGGATATAGTCCAAAGTTCTTAGCATTACAGATCTACTCTTGTTCCTTTCCTAGCTACTCTCCAAATGCACCATTCAAAGGCAGGCACCCTTCACAATCTCCTCCCTTCCTGGACCAAACACCTGTCTCTGTGGTGGTCAAGTCTCAAGCCTATCCTATATGTCTTGGTCCCTGCAGGTGCAGCCTTAATTTCCTCAAAATGTCATGCATTTGCATGCTTCTGTGTCTTTGTATGCTACCCCATCTGGCTGAAATGACTTTCCCTGCATCTCACCCTCCCCTTTTATTCCCTTGATTAAATTCATCCTTTAGGATTCAGTCCTACATTATCTGGAAGCTTTTCTGATACCCTCACCCTTGGGTGGTGTGTCAGATGCTCTTTGGACGTCACACCTATTCCCCCAGCAGACTCTAAAATGCTTCACTACTTTCTAGCTGAGTAACCTTGGACACGTTCATTAATTTTACTGAGTCTACTTCTTCATGAACAGAATGGCAGCATTAATTTTATACCACTATGAAATAATGTGAAAAATCACTTAATAAATAGTAAAGCACTTCGCAAGCATTAACAATTTTATCAGAGGGAATATGGGTGGCTCAGTCGGTTAAGCATCTACCTTTGGCTTAGATCATGATCCCAGGGTCTTGGGATCCTTTTATAGGGCCCTCTGCTCAGCGGGAAGTCTGCTTCTCCTTCTACCCTTCCTCCGGCTCATGATCTATCTCTTGGTCATGCTCTCTCTCTCAAATAAATAAAGTAAAATAAAATTTAAAAAACCACAATTTTACCATAAACCAAAAGAGCACACAATATTCTAGGTGAATATACTTAAGCCGATTTAAGGGTAGGATTCATCCTTTGGTCTCCAGACCCCTCTCCAAGTATGCCCCTGCATTTTATCCAACTTTACTGGGGCACTAAGTCCTTGTTTTTCTACATTCAAAGGAAAAAAGCCCATAGTGATGTCTAGGACATTTGAAGAAAAGACTAAATGGGAGACTCCTGAATGGTAAGGGTTGTTTTTTCCACCTTTCCTAAAGCCTTCATGAGACTACTGTATTATGGACATACAAATACTTGGCAAAAATGAAAAAGGTGAATGAATGAATAAATGAGTGAATAGAGGCATACCCTATCCTTAGTGAGCTTGTAATCAAAAGGAGTAATGTGACAAATCCCATACGAATCTGGTCTTGTGAAAATGTTAGCCAAGAATCTGGTCTTGTGAAAATGTTAGCCAATGCCTTCAATGTCATCGTTAAGTGCAGCAAAAAATTAAATTTTCTGCTGCGCTTATTTTATTTGATTTGACACACACTATAATTTTTATCTTAGTGACTCACGCTTCTCATGTTTTAACATTATCAGAATCACTCAGGCAGTTCAATAACCTATTAAATATCTACTGCACTAGGCCCAATGAGCATTATGAACATAAAGGTGGACTCTGCCCATAGATTGCTAAACATATAGAAAGGAAGGTAAGTCATGAATATATGTTAATATAAGGCAGAATACTGTAAAATGTAGATAAGACCTAAGGCTAGTGACAACCAACGAAGACAGATATCTGAGTTAGGGCACTAGGTTCATAAAAACGGAAACTATATATTACAAATTACTGGTGGCCAATAGTTTGTGTCACAGTAGAACATCTACTGTATATTATTACATATGCAACATTTGCTTTTAACCTAATTACAAACTTAATTGTGTTGCTGTCTAATTGAATAAGACCTGCTGTTAACACTTATAAATCACACGTGTGCCAAGCACAGTTTCAAGACGGTTAGGTACTTTATTTCATTTAATTCCTCCAACAACTCTACAAGATAGATACAATTATCTCTATTTTATAGATGAGGAGACCTAAGGCATAGGCCTTAGTAATTTTTTCAAGGTTAAGAAGCAAACTGAGAATAAGTAGACAAGAACGTTAAGAGACAAAAACGAGTATTCCACAGAGAGTGAACAGACTAATTTGCCAGGAGCGGCTCACGCAGTGCTTTCCACTTCTCCCGAACGCGCCGGGTGGAAACAACCTATCTCCTTTCCTTTCCCGCCTGGGATTAATGTTCTTTTCCTGAGTCCATAACTGAACTGTTGATTCTCGTGCAGATCATCTCTAACACTCCCACTTCAGAGGACAGGCTGCTCTTTAAATCAGAGGCAGTTCTGGGTAAATGAGACCGAATCAGATCCCCAGGTGGACAAAGCTCAGGTAGGATCGCGAAATTTAACCTTCGGGCTGGGCATCCGTTCCTGGATCATCTCCAGGGGATGGCAGCAGCACCCAGCTCACCCAGGAAGCGCTACCCCGGCAGAATCTTCTTCTGAACCCCAGGCGGCTTGGATTTTGCCATCTGCTCGTTTACCCTTCACCTGCCGGCTCTGCGTGTCTCATCTCCACCCTTCTCCCTACCAAACGCCCAAACGCCGGGCCTCAAGCGCCTCGTTCTCTGCGGCGGTCAAGTCCCAAACCCCACCCGGGTGCTCGTCCGCCCCACAAGCAGCCCGTCCCGCTCCCTCCCCCGGCCGGCTACTCACGGTTCCAGTACACCGGGTAGCACTCTCCTTGGGTCACATCCACCTCGTAGAGGCCGCCCCGCACACACACCCGCTCGATGTTCACCAGCTCCTCCATCTCGGGCTCGTGCCCCGCAGCGCGCGGGCAGAAGCCGCAGACGCGGTCCTCGTCCTCGTCCTCCCCCGAGCTGGAGGCCGGGCCGCACACACGGTCGCCCTCCGGGTCCTCGGCCCGGGGCCGGCCACCCGTGGCCTGCAGTAGCGTTCGGAAGGCGAGCTCGATGCGGAGCGAGTCATAGCCGATGAAGGGCTTCCAGGTCTTCTTGTCCTCCTTGTAGAACCAGCGAACCTCCTCGGGGCCCAGCTCCGTCACCACCTCGTAGCGGTGCCTGGCGGCTGTTCCGCCAGACCGGGTGCGCTTCCTTTCCCCGAGCCCCCCTCCCGCTGGCCCGATGCCCCCCGCGCTCGACTGGACCAGCGGCGGCTGCGGCGGCGGGTGCAGCGACGAGGAGCTGCCGCAGCCGACGCTCACGCTCTCGCCCTCGCTGTAGTAGCGCAGCGAGGAGCCCGACTCCGCGGAGCTGAAGTCGTAGTTCTCATCACTAAGGCAGGAGTCCAGCGCCAGGTGGTGGTTGTGGTCCTCCGCGTCCGGCGCCAAGTGCAGCCCGGGCTCCCCGCGCAGCAGGGCCAGAGGCACCTCGTCGTCGCTCGGGTCCCCGCCCGGCAAGTGGTCGAAGCAGCAAACGCCGCCGCCGAACGCCGGCTCCGCATCCGAGTCCAGCTCCCAGGCTGTGCCGCCGCCGCCCCGGTCGTTATGTTCAGGGCTCCGCGGGGAACCGCGGCCCGGGTAATTCATGGTGTGGAGACGCCGCCAGCTGCCCGGCCCCGCGCCGAGCCGTGGCCCCCAGCGCTTCCGCCACACATTCAACGCGGTAGCCCTCTCCACCGGTAGTTTTTAATCTTTCAAATCCCAACCGGGGCTGCGGAGGTAGCGGCGGTCGCTCCGCCCCCCCGAGGCCCACAGCAGCCACAGCCGCAGCCGCGTTCCACAGCTCGCCCCATTGTCGCGCAGCCCGACATGGGCGGTGCTTGTCCCAGCCCCGCCCTGCCGGCCGCGCGCGCCGCCCCGGAAGCCCCTTCTCCTCCCGGGCCTCGCGCGAGCGCCTAGGCTTTTCTCTGTGGCCTTCCGCGGTGGGTCAGCTCAGGGCAGCCGCAACTTCTCACTTGCCTTAGTTGTCTTCCTCCTCCACGCTCCTCTCCCTGCACACCTGCCTCGGCCCCCGCCTTTCTAGGGATCAGAGCCCAGGTGAGGAGAGGCTTTATCCCACTCAGCCTTGTATTCTGGGTCATGAGCCGCAGGGCTTAAGCTACAGGAGAGGTGCCCAGGAAGCTGGCTTCTCCTGACACCGGTTTTGTGACCCTAGGTCCTCACCTGGAGCTTCTCAGTCACCTGGCTCTGGTCCCTCCAGAACTGTCGGCACACACAAAGGCATTCCACTCCATGCCTGCCATCCCTAATGTTGACATCACCATTCCCTCTCAGAAGCCCGAGTCTAAACCTTCCCTCTCAGGCCACCTTCTATTATTGTTTATCTTTGAATACTTATTTCCCGTTTTCTCAACCTCACTGTAAGGACCTTGATGGAGACCGAGTCCATATGTCTCAACCTCTCCCGCACAGTGGGTGCTCAATCAATGTTGATTATAACTGATGGTAAGTGCAGCCAGTTGTGATAGATTATTACATTGAAAGACAGAAAACACTAGGTCCTAGACTTAGTTTTACTAACCGCAGGCAAGTCACATCATCTCCTTGATCTTTTTGGTTTCCTCATCTGTAAAATGAGGTGATTATTGGACCAGATGATCTCTAAAGTGTCTTCCAGCAATGGAATTCTATGATCTTCACGGTCTCTTCCTGTTCTTTATGCCTCTCTAATTCTGTAGCTCACTTTCTGGAATCCAGTTGAATGCTGAGCCTCCACTGTGTAGTTCTTTTATATTACAAAAAAAAAAAAAAAGTTTAATCTTATAAGCACAACACCCTATCCTGTGTTGAAAATCTAGAGAAAAACAATCTCCAACCTCATGTTATCAATTCATGAACACACAGTCTACACTGTTTCTTTCACTCCTCTTGTGGAGAATCAGATCAGTGGGGCAGTTTTTCTTGCCCTGTGATCTAACCTGTTAGAGATTAAGTCATAATTCAAAACATGGCTGTCTCTAGCTTGTGCAGTGCTAAGTGAATTTGAAAGAAAGGACATTGCTTCTTGTGTGCAATACAAGGCATGGGATAGTGCTGAAGTTCACGGCTTAGAAAACAGAGCATGGGCTGGATTTTTGCTCCAGTTTGTGCCCTTGCCCAAATGATAATTTTATGTGGCGAACAACATGCCCAATTGGACACAGCAGCCCTGACGAAAGCATCTAAGATCAGAGCACTCATCTCCATTCATACTGCTTTCTGAGTACTCGCTTTTCAATTTCTTCTCCAGTCTTTCTATGACAACATGCAGAATATGAAACTTGGTTATGAGCTTTGTTTTATTTACTGCCCATAAAGCGTTTATTCTACCGTTCTTTGATATATGTGGCAGGCATCTCTGTTCTGGGTGTCAATACAAAAGGGAATTGGAGACTCGATTCCTTCTTTAGGGACATTACACTCTAGAAGGGAATACAGACAAGTACATAGATAGATCATAGTAGAGTGTGATAAGTACCATAAAGGGAATTCAAAATAAGGGATGTCATAACATTTAAAATATCTCTATTTCTTGATTGAACATATCCTACCTGTATAGCTTCTGATCCGATTATTTTAGCCAAATGTTAACCTGTTAGGACAATACAATTCCCACTAATGAATATTATCCTCTGTTAAAAAAAAATTACTCTCCACCCTGTATCAAATGAATGTTTTTATTATTTAAATGTTGTGCTTATTAGGTTATATATAACCTCTTATGGTCCTTTGGGTAAGGCCATGTTCTTTTAGGCAGCATGATCTTTCTTGAAGAAGCTCTTGATCCCCAAAGATGATGAATAAAAACTCCACAACCCAGTTGAGAATCCAGGAGAAGGGAATCCCACATTCTCTTCTGATTTCACTATCTTGGTTTAGACCTTGGCGAGGGGAGATGTCTTTCAGTATTTCTGGGAGTTGAGATTGCTTCTGCCCCTTGGAAGTGAGTTGCAACTAGTAGAACAGACCCATGTAGCTGGCCGCAGACTAACAGTGAATGAAGATACTTGAAAATATAATCTCTAATTTCATGTGACTGTATGTGTTTATTTCCTTGTATTCCTTAGCCATGTCAAGGCAAAGGCCATGAAGTTGCTCTTCTCAACTTTCTTCTCTGCTTAAAAAAAAAAAAAATCCTTTATCTGATCCTTCCTGCTACTACTCTCCTTTTGCTTTTTATTTTTAAGTTTTTAAATTTTTAAGATTTTATTTATTTATATGACAGAGAAAGACAGAGAGAGAGAGGGAACGTGAGCAAGGGAAGTGGGAGAGGGAGAAGCAGGTTTCCCACTGAGCAGGGAGCTCAATGTGGGGCTCGATGGGGGAGCTCGATCCCAGGACCCCGGGATCATGACCTGAGCCAAAGGCAGACACTTAATAACTGAGTCACCCAGGCGCCCCCTACTTTTGCTTTTTTTTTTTTTTTTTTTAAGATTTTATTTATTTATTTATTTATTTGACAGAGAGACACATAGTGAGAGAGGGAACACAAGCAGGGGGAGTGGGAGAGGGAGACGCAGGCTTCCAGCAGGGCAGGGAGCCCAATGTGGGGCTGGATCCCAGGACCCCGGGATCATGACCTGAGCCGAAGGCAGACGCTTAACGACTGAGCCACCCAGGTGCCCCCCTACTTTTGCTTTTTAAAACATCTTTTTAGGTCATAATATCCTGACAAGAGAAGGAAGCTTCCATCTATAGCAGTCCCCACTTGTTGGTATAGGAGTCAGGTGGCACTCTACATCATTATTGTATGCAATGGACAGAGCAGTATCTGAACATTCATGGTTATATGTAAAGAATGATGTTGTGTTTTCATCATTATGCAAGACCAAGCCTCCTTCCCATAAGCCAAATAAGTATGATTGATTCAGACTTCTGGCATTGTGGAACCAGGCCACTGCAATAACCAGTGGGATGTGGAACCGAACCTGAGAGAGTTCTGGTTGGTATGGGAAAGATAAAGAGGCAAAGCTAGGTGGTTTGTACTATTAAAGACTAAAGCATTTCATCTGCAGGTCCTGCCACCCTCCCTTTTCCATTAGACTTGACTGGAGCTATCTAACAACAACCATATTTCCCTCCCCATCTCTCAAAAGTTACATGGTACAATTTTATGCCACCTTTCCCTTTTCTTCTCTTTTCGAGGTTTCCTTATTGTTCATTTTAATCCATTTTCACCTGTATAAAAATATTAGGTCATTAGGCCTTATGCCATGTAGTTTATTCTAACCAATAAACCACACCCACACTTGAAATAGCTTAATCCATTGTATACAGATGGAAAATTTAGAATGGAGAAAGAGGGTGGTCATATAACCATATCCCTATTTGCTCTATCTCCTGTTTGATAAATACCTTATCCACTACATTTAAATTTTTATTGTAACTTTTATTTTTAGGATCACTACCTAGTTTCTTAAAATTAGAATGTCTTAGTCTGTTCATGCTACTATAACAAATACCAAAAGCTGGATAATTTATAAACAACAAATATTTCTCACAGTTCTAGAGGCTGGGAAGTTCAAGATCATGATGCTGGCAGATTGGTGTTTGGTGAGATCTTGCTGGCTCATAGACAGTCATCTTTTCATTGGGTTTTCATATGTCAGAGGGGCTAGGGAGCTCTGTGAGGCCTCTTTTATAAGGGCCTACCTCCTAACCCCACCGCCTTGGGGATTTTGACATATGACTTCTGGAGGGTACACAAACATTTGGACAATGGCAGAGAGTGTCTTTTTTTGGGTGAACAGATGAAAAGGAATGACAACCTAGACTAAAGCAGGGAACATTCATTGAACATACATTAGATGTTTGCTAAGTTCCAGGCACTAGCTAGGCCCTACTGTGAAGCATTCACAGTCTAGAGGTATCTTTAAATAAACCCAGAATGCCAACTTTTTAGTTCCTATGAGGAATATAATTGCAATGCCAAGAATGACCACAGGAGTCATTCTTCCCCTAAAGACAGATCAATAAAGGAAGCCAAATTACAATAAAAATGTAGCTACATGAGCAGAAATAACATAGGAATACATAATGAATAAAGTCATTCATTTCTATACATTCATTCAACAAATATTTATTGTCTACTGCTATTTTGCTAATGTTTTTTGTTTTTATATTACTTCAAATCACACTTAAAATGTAGACTTATCAAGTGCATTTACTTAAAGATTTGTAAGAGGTCTGACCTCAAAGTTGTACCTACAAAAACCCTTAAATTTTTTTTAAAATATTCTTTTTGGAAATAAAGGTCAATGGCATTGAAGGTATATACTCAAATGCAACAGATTGCAGATCAATAAAATATTGATGCATTCTTTATGCATCTTCATTAGCTTGTTTATATCTGAAAGAGAAGATTTGGCTATATCCCTGTCCTTTTGTTATAGAAAAGTGAATTAGAGTATAACCATAGCCTATTGTGAGGTCCACATTCTGTATCCACTGTAGATGCATTTGATGACTTTTGTGCTCCAGGATCTTTTCCTTTCTCACACCAGAGGTAAACCAAAAATACATATTTGTTTATTCACAAACTGTATAGTATGTAATTCATACATAGTACATATATAGTATTTAATTCATATCACCTTCAACAATAAATAATTGATCATCACAAGTTTTGCTAAGACTTGGATGTAGCATATTGCTTATGTGTAGTTTATTCTGATTTTCATATAAGAAGTAGAAAGGAAAGAAGAAAGGAGCTATGTTTCAGTGGGGATTTCCTCTAGTGCAACTCTGAGTAACTTACTGAGTTTTTAAAGGACTGAGTGATAGAATCAATTCATTGTTTTTGCAACTGCTGCTTAAGACAGTGTTTTTATCCTTTACATCATAAATCAACATTTTAAATGTCAATGATTATAGACTCACAAGCCCACAAACCACTTTCACAGCTTTTCCCATTGCCTTTGGAACCAAACTAGATAGCCATTAGGGTAATATCATTAAAAAATTAAAATGAGACTGTGGAAAAGCTAAGTTCTTCAGAAATTTAATCTTTAAGACTAAATAATCTGTATTTTAATATAAAAAATGAATAACAAGTGCCTTGCATTAACAACTCATGCTTTCTTCTTTAGTTTAGGACTTCAAACAAATTCTTAATCATCAATGAGAGCTCACAGTCCTTCATCTGATTATTCATATTGATATACTTCTCAAGTTAGAAATTATAAACCTAGATCGCTCATCTTACCATACTTTCGGGCTAGAAACTATAAATCTCTTGAAATGCTCTTGAGAGGTGCTTTGGAAATAATTTTAATGAATACATAGGACAGTGTATTAGTTTCTTAGAGCTATCATAACTATGTTTCTACAAACTGTGTGGCTTCAAATGAGAGAATTTCATTCTTTTGCAGTTTTGAATGCTGGAAGTCCAAAATTAAGGTGTCATTGAACTTGGTTCCTGCTGAAGACTTCTGAGGAAGGAACTGTTCCATGCCTCTCTCCTAGCTTCTGATGCTTGCCAGTGGTCTGCAGTGTTCTCTGGTCTGTAGCTACATTGCGCTAATCTTTGCCTCTGTCATCACATGGCATTCTTCCTTGTGTGTCTGTATGTCTGACCTCTCCTTTCCTTTTCTTTTTTTTTTTTTTTTAAGATTTTTATTTATTTATTTGACAGAGAGAGATCACAAGTAGGCAGAGAGGCAGGCAGAGAGAGAGGAAGGGAAGCAGGCCTCCTGCTGAGCAGAGAGACCGACACAGGGATCGATCCCTTCATGACCTGAGTGGAAGGCAGAGGCTTTAAACCACTGAGCCATCCAGGCACCCCTGACCTCTCCTTTTCTTATAAGGATACCAGTCATTGCATTTAGGGCCCACTTTAATCCAGTATGACCTCTTTTTTTTTTTTTTTTTTAAGTAGTCTCCACACCCCACGTGGAGCCCAATGCAGGGTATAAATTCACAACTGTGAAATGAGAACTGAACTGAGATCAAGAGGTGGATGCCTAACTGACTGAGCCACCCAGGAGCCCCCTGTATGACCTCATCTTAACAAATTATATCTACAAAGACTGTATTTCCAAGAAAGGCTACATTTTGCGGTTCCATATGAACAAGAATTGTGGGGGGACACTATTGAATTTACTATAGTGTGAATAAGCAGGCATGAGTGTTTAAACAACTTTGTCAAACATGTAAATAATGACTAGATTAATCTTTACTGGAGAACTTTTTTTTAAGATTTTATTTGAGAGAGATAGAGATACAGAGAGGGCACAATTGGAGGGGTGGGGCAGGGAGAGGGAGAAGCAGGGTCCCTGCTAAACAGGGAGCCTGACCAGGGCTCCATCCTAGGACCCCAAGATCATGGTCTGAGCTGAAGGCAGACGCTTAACCAACTGAGCCACCCAGGCACCCTGTGGTTTGATCTTTTTACGTTTTTTTAAATTATTTTACGTATTTACTTTTTTTACATATTTTACATTAAAAACACAAATCTAGGGGTGCTTGGTTGGTTGAACATCTGTCCGACTCTTTCTTTTTTTTTTTTTAAGATTTTATTTATTTATTTGACAGACAGAGATCACAGGTAGGCAGAGAGGCAAGCAGAGAGAGAGGAGGAAGCAGGCTCCCTGCTGAGCAGAGAGCCCGATGCGGGGCTCGATCCCAGGACCCTGGGATCATGACCTGAGCCTAAGGCAGAGGCTTTAATCCACTGAGCCACCCAGGCGCCCCACATCTGTCCGACTCTTAATTTTAGCACAAGCCATGATCTCAGGGGTTGGGGGATTGAGCCCCGCCGGGTTTCTTACTCAGTGGGGAGTCTGCTGGAGATTCTCTGTCTCCCTATCCCTCTGTCCCTCACCACTATGCTCATTCTCATTCACGCTCTCTCTCTCAATGAAATAAATCTTTAAAAAAGCCCTAGAAATCCACACTATGCATATACAGTAAAAATATGTGTGTACATATACATATGCATATATATTCACCTATATATCTGTAAATCACTGGTAAAAATCTGAAAGAATAAGCTATAAATCACCCACATAGTTAGTCTTGGAAGGTGGTGGGGAAATGAAGTTAGACCTTAAATTCAATATTATTTGAACTTTAAGTGATTGAGCATATATTTGTATGTTACTTGTATAATTAAATAACTTTTTTAAACAAGTAAAATCAAATGGAGAATAATATGACGTCCACCACTCCCACTGTTTTAGAGTTTCCTCTATTCCAAGTAGCCTTATCTTTAGATGACCACATCAGTCTTGTTGACTCCCCAACTTGAATAAAATTACTATTTATTGAATAAAATCATAGATACCCCACACAGGTTGCAGACAGAACTAGAATCAGCTCTCAGTCCTGTCAAAGATTAGCTATGTGTGCTTTTAGCTCAAATTCATCATCAGTTACTTGGGAATAATGACAATACTTGCCTCACTTGTGCTGAGGGTTACTTAAGAAAACATAGGATAATGTATATGAAAGTCCTTCTGGAACCTCCCACAGTCGTCACCTGGCACCTCTGGTGGCAAACACATTGTGTAACAGAACACCTTCCAGTATTTCCAAAGGTTTCCTTTTTTTTTTTTTTCCGTTCTCCGCGCCCCCCTCCCCCCGCCCCGCTTTCCTTTTATCTCTACATTTTATGAACTAGGATTAGTGGTATTCAGCATCTAAAGCACCTTATTTACTTACATTTCAGTTAGCCCTGTGATTCCTCAGTTACTTAAACTTGTTCCTCTCAGAACTCTTTCTCCACACAGAGGTCAGGAAAAGGGAACTGGACTTCTCAGTCCTTAGATGGCCTGCGATTACTTGTATCCTCTTCTCTGGAGCTGCTCCCATCCCCTTTTTGGCTCCTCTACCTTGGTGCAGCTCCAAGAGAGAGCATACACCTGAGTTTTAGGTAACACAAAGTCCTCGTTGCAACTCTGTCCCTCTCCCCTTTAGCACAGCTGGCTTTCTTAGTAACTGTGGCACAGGCTGCAGAGATAAAAACGAGAATTCAAGTACTCTTCCATGCACTTCGAAATCTTCTTCTGAGGAGTCCAGGGACCTCTGAAATTCTTCGATATCTATACATTTCTGATCTCCTTCAAAGATCATGAAAACTACGTGAACCCTTAGCACTAAATGAATTTTAAGGTAAGTGAAAGTTTCTTGGAGTTGTTTGATTTGGAGGCTTAGCAGCTTGAATCAGGGGTGAAACATGGAATTCATTACTATCATTCTTAGGGAAGAAAGGATATAAACAGAATTTTCTTTTCAGTGGCATCTTTTAGCTCCTATAAATAATGGTCAGGCAATATTTTCCTACTTGTAAGATTGATATGACCTCTCTCTCAAGGCATAACAGTTGTTAGGGGTAACTGACAAAAGGTCAACTGAAATGAACACATATGTATCGCATGCCTATTAAGTATGAGCCAAGCACAGCATTAGGGAGAGAACTCACAGCCCAGTGGGAAAATGGACAAATAGGCAGGTGCAAAGTTCAAAGGAGCCCTGAGAAAGACCTTGAAGGGTGGTGTTGCAATGCTCAGAGGGTTGCCCAACCCATCTGTGAAGGGAAAGATGGAGACAGTCACAGAAGCTTTCCAGAAAAAGAGATGCCTAAAGCAGGATCTGAAAAGGCAAATAAAAGGTAGCTGAAAAGGTGAGTGTAGGTGGGCTGCAGAGGAATATTCCAGGCAGAAAGAATCATGTACACACTGACCTAGGATTTGAAGAACTGTGTAGAAGACAGAGAGTGGGGCAGGAGAGATAAGCACATACAGATTATTGGAAAAGCCAAATAATATAAAACCATAATCATGTAGATAATGCAGATGTCTAACTTATTTTGAAAAAAAACAAAAAGAAGTTATCTGATGGAAGCTTCTTTGAGAGGAACACAATCCATCATATTTGAAAAGCAGGCTTAAGTCCCTGGAATGATTGGAGAGAAGACCTTCCTTAAATCAACCCAAGTATAAGCACTTTGATAGCTCCTGCTTCATCTGGCACAGGGCCTTGCACATAACTGCCACTCAGTCTATACTGCTGAAACCAGGTACTTCTAAGCGTTTGTTTCATCCCATGGTCTTTACTGATATTGTCATCATTCTCACATGGGCCCACCAGGGGCCCATCCTCGTAAGTCACTGTTCGGATTTTGGTAGGAAAGACATTGCGAAGCTCAACCTACTTTAAAATAGTTTCTCAATAGGCATGCCATGGTGGATCTTTCCTTCCAAATGGGATCTCATGTACACCCATAATCAGAGTTACATAATGAAGGTAGAGGCATTATCTTCATACATGTATCCTTAAAATGTGTGCAATCAGTATGGCCAGACTTTTCATTAAGTGTAAAATGGGGTCATAAGTTTTTAATGGCCAGATTATCACTTGAGTCCCCACTGACCTGATCGCTAGTCAAATATTTCCGAATATTTCTTGTTGTTCCCCAAAGATGGCTTATATCAGCTTATGGTCTCTTCTGTGTACTACAATAATCATCCTATCCACCATAACCCTTTTCTCTTGCTCTGACAACACTGTGTCCACCCATACACCCTTCCTAGCCTCCAAATAGCTTGAAGGAACCTTGCTGTTCTCTCGCAAATGCAGCTGTCTCCTCCTAGTATTGGTGGAAGCCTTGCCAAGGTGCTGTGTTCTTACTCTCCCTAAGCCTCCACCATCCGGGTGCCTGCCAGAGCAGTTCCAGGCTGAGCTGGGAGGAGAAGGGATCAGCCCTCTTTCCAGCTCTGGGCCATACTTTGCACCTGGAACCCAAAGTACTACAGTTCTGCCCGAAATCATAAAGCTTCCCCCTTCAAACTTTCCCTTCAATTTCAGAATAATATGTGATCATCTAGCATCTGTGGTCAAGTTAACATACTAACAAGGTCAAGCACCTTATAGATTTTCCCAAGAACAATTACTAGTCTCTTCCAAAGGTGAAGAAAGTAGTCTCCACTCCTGGGTGCAAATGAACCAGCAACTCTTTTTTTTTTTTTTTTAAGATTTTATTTATTTATTTGACAGAGAGAAATAGAGAGATCACAAATAGACAGAGAGGCAGTCAGAGAGGGGAGTGGGGAGCAGGCTCCCTGCTGAGCAGAGAGCCTGATGTGGGGCTTGATCCCAGAACCCTGAGATCATGACCCGAGCCGAAGGCAGAAGCTTAACCCACTGAGCCACCCATGCACCCCAAACTAGCAACTCTTAAATGACAACTTCCTCACTTAGGTTTCAAAAGTCTTAAGTCCTTGGTCTAGTGAAGGCACCCTGGGCACAAAGGAAGTTCTGCCACCCAGAAGGAAAAAGACAGCTTTTTTTTTTTTTAATTAACCCAATAATTCTCAGTAGTTTATCAGATTGGTTAAGGCACAAAGGGTCAGAACCCTTAAGACTGGCCAATGTCAATGTATGAAATATCTGGAGCCAGAAAACTCTGGGTAGTTCTATATGAATCTAATAGAAAACAGCAAGGGCAGAGGGTGAGAAGGAAAGTATCCAGAAAGAAATTGTAGACATGAATTCCCAGGAAGACAAACTCTGGCCCTACCAGTTAAGCTGTTTTGTGTTTTGACTTTCTAAATTCACCCATAAGTTCATATCAACTACCCTGAAAAAGATGTCATAAAACATTCCTGATATAAGATTACAAACCTTAATTGGTAGAGAGTTCCTAGTTATATATTGGAAAAACTAATAAACCTCCATCAAAAGTTATAAATAGAAAATTGCCAAATGAGGAAATGAAAACTTAAAAAATAGCTAAAAGAATGGGATTAAAGGTCCATCTGGAATATTAACAATAACAACAAATATAGAAAGTAAAGCTATAATCGCATGCCACTTTGTGCGAAGCAAAATTTGTGCCAGATCACAGAGGACCCTGAATGCCATGTTCACGAGTCTAGAGTCTATTCTGTATATGATAAGAAGACATGGATAGATTTCTATCAGGAGAATAACATTCTCTCAGCCGCCTCTCTTTTTAAAAGGGAAGATTAGTTAATCAATTGGGTATAGGATGGATTAAAGAAGATCATGGTGCCTTCCATTATAGTAAAGATGAGGGAACAGTTCCAGAAATGGCCTATACAGTCATGTCGCTAGATATCTAGCTTTGGAAAAACCCACAAGAAGGGACTGAATAATGCATTGACTTCCTCCATCCGTTATACTGTCTCTCAGTAGACCTAGTAGCCTGATAAGTGATGCTAATGTACCATGAGACTCTGTATAAATTGATAACACATAAGAACAGCCCAGAACTCATTTTTCAAATTGGACAGAAGTGTCCTTATAAAGAAATTTTGTCTTTCCACAAAAATCAGGAAGCATCAGTATCAAGAATTGGGGGATTTCCATTTTCAGAAAGTGTTTTTTTTTTTTTCTTCTCAATGTCCATGACACATGAACAATTTCTCAGCTTCCTTAAATGGCTATGCCATTCATTTTTAATGGTCCTCCTTAATTGCAAAGATATCCTGTGGTAATGAGGCTTCCTTAAGTTTGGCTTTACCCCAAGGACAAAGAGTTTTCTGATACATATTGAAAAAAAATATTGCAACCTTCTTAGAAGATGCCCTATGTGAACATAAACATTGTTTCCTTCTTTCAAAGAAGTTTAATTGGCAATAACATCGAGCAAAAACCATTTTTTTTTCCTGCCCAGATTTCTTCTGTTTATTTCCTGTGTGTTAAGCCTGTCCCGTAGAGCTCACCAAAACCATGGTGATGCAATGATGGTTTACCCTTTCCCCAAATGAGGTCTGCTATCATCCAGCCATCAGCTGACTATAGTCTAATATAGTGACTATAGAACTAATGAATTGTTTTTTAAATTATTATTATTATTTATTACTATTATAAGCCTTTTCCAGAACTTTCCCAGGTAGAGCTCTATGGGTGGAAAAATAGAATCTCTGGGTATCATTACTTTCTCTCCCTCTCTTTTTTAAAGATTTATTTATTTATTTGAGACAGAGAGATAGAGAGCATGAGTGGGAGAGACAGAGGGAGAGTGAGAGAAAGAATCCTAAGCAGACTTCCTGCTGAGTGCGAGCCTGATACAGGGTTCAATCCCACAACCCTGAGATTATGACCTGAGTTGAAATCAAGAGTCAGATGATTAACCAGCTGAAACACCAGGCACCTCCTCTTTCTTTTTGTAGGTGGGTGCAGTAGGTCCTGTTGATCTCAGCTGTCCTTAACTGCATCCTTCATAGTAACGGAAGGGAAAAAAGTTGGTGCTATTGACAGAAATCAGGGAGAGCAGGTGTGTTTCAAGATATGTAGTGAATAGCAGCATATGGGGGTGCAGGAGCAGAGTAAGTATGGTCTAGGAAATTAGGACACCTGGATTCTAGACTCAGGCTTGTCACCAACTAGACATTTGACCTCTGGCAAAAATTTATCTGCAGAGGGTCTGGCTTTTTTATTTTCATTTGTAGTATGAGGAAATTGAGCTACAGTTGTTTCTAGTTATGACCTCTTATGACTATTTTTCCTACTCTTAAATTCAGCACCAGTGACTATGTATGTAAGACTTTTGGCCTTTTTGCCAAATGCGGGCACCTGGCATGCCATTATTAGCACCAGCAAAATGTGAGCAATGGAATTGATATGTCATGTGAACCTAGAGCAAAGTAAAGCCATTGAGTTAAGTGGAGGTGCCCTAGGAGTAGGGGTTACATTGGGCATGGCTTAGAGACTACTAACATGATCTTATGCGTTACCTCTCTATACTTCTCTCATTTTTTCATTCCCGTCCCCTCTTATTTTTCTGTTTTATCTTGTTTTATATTGTTCTCCCAACCATGACCCTTTCTTTCCTTTACAGTGTTCAGGTTTCAGTGTTCTTGGAAAGGAATTTTCAGAATTCTGGGTCTGAAAGAAATGTCTTATTGCAACTCCTGCTAACCGAAATGTAATCCTAACCAACCTCATGTGTCAGATCACACTGTGAGAAGCCTCTGAAATAGGAGTGTGGGTGGCGCTCTCTTCGCAAGAATTCCTGGCACTGGAGTTCCAGGGAGAGGACCCTTATGCAAGTAATTCAAGTACAAATGCCGCATGACTACATGCCTTGAGGCAGAGGCTCTCCATTTTCTTCTGTCCCTGTCCACCTTGTGCCCTATTTTCCTGTTTCTTAAAACTGTTTTTCTCTCAGTACACTGATCATGGTGAGCACTGAGTAATATGTGGAAGTGCTGAATCACTCACTTCTACACCTGAGACTACTATCACACCATATGTTAACTATACTGGAATTAAAAGTAAAAATTAAAAAAAAATGTTTTTTATCTCTATTTGGTTAAATTGCTACTTATTTTATTAGCTGATGTGGAGGGTCCACATTCCAGGCTACATAGGCAGTTATGTAAGAAATGTGCTGTCTTTATCTCTATTCTGTCAGGTGGTCGAAAATTAATCTCAGGATCTGAGATTCTGGGGTTCTCACCTGTGCCCTTGAGTCATCCTGGAGCTGGCAGTCAGGAGCATCTCTTCTATGTTGTCATCATTTATCCATCCTGGCACCTGCCAAGACTGGCAGCATTCCTGTCTGATCTTGGATGATTGATCGGTGGGTCACTGTGGTATCTTTCTGGTCCCAATCTCAAGTTGTCTTCAGGCTTGCTAGCTTTCTCTGTGCTGTATGTTGACCATTATTCAGCTGGAGCACACAGTGGCCTGTGGAAACTCTGGCCTGTGAAGCTGTCTCAGATACTCTGAGCAAGAAGAGACACAGTTAATTTTAGCCACTCTGATTGCTGTGAGGTATCTCATTATGGTTTTGATTTGTATTTCCCTGATGCTGAGTGATGTGGAGCATTTTTTCATGTGTCTGTTGGCCATCTGGATGTCTTCCTGCAGAAATGTCTGTTCATGTCCCCTGCCCATTTCTTGATTGGATTATTTGTTCTTAGGGTGTTGACTTTGCTAAGTTCTTTATAGATTTTGGATAGTAGCTGTTTATCTGATATGTCATTTGCAAATATCTTCTCATTCTGTCAGTTGTCTTTTTTTTTTTTTTAAGATTTTATTTATTTATTTATTTGACAGACAGAGATCACAAGTAGGCAGAGAGGCAGGCAGATAGAGAGGAAGGGAAGCAGGTTCCCGGCTGAGCAGAGAGAATGCAGGGCTCGATCCCAGGACCCCGAGATCATGACCTGAGCCAAAGGCAGAGGCTTAACCTACTGAGCCACCCAGGTGCCCCTGTCTTTTGGTTTTGTTGACTGTTTGTTTCCTTTGCTGTGCAAAAGCTTTTGATCTTGATGAAGTCCCAATAGTTCATTTTGCCCTTGCTTCCCTTGCCTTTGGCGATGTTTCTAGGAAGAAATCGTGGTGGCTGAGGTCAAAGAGGTTGCTGCCTGTGTTCTTCTCAAGGATTTTGATGGAGTCCTGCCTCACATTGAGGTCTTTCATCCATTTTGGGTCTCTTTTTGTGTGTGGTGTAAGAAATGGTCCAGTTTCATTCTTCTGCATGTGGCTATCCAATTTTCCCAACACCATTTATTGAAGAGGCTGTCTTTTTTCCATTGGACATTCTTTCCTGCTTTGTCGAAGATTAGTTGACCATAGAGTTGAGGTCTATTTCTGGGCTCTCTATTCTGTTCCTCTGATCTATGTGTCTGTTTTTGTGTCAGTACCATACTGTCTTGATGATGACAGCTTTGTAATAGAGCTTGAAGTCTGGAATTGTGATGCCACCAACTTTGGCTTTCTTTTTCAACATTCCTCTGGCTATTCGGGGTCTTTTCTGGTTCCACAACAGATGTTGGAGAGGATGCAGACAAAGGGAAACCCTCCTACACTGTTGGTGGGAATGCAAGCTGGTGAACCACTCTGGAAAATAGCATGGAGATTCTTCAATAAGTTGAAAATAGAGATACCCTATGACCCAGCAATTGCACTACTGGGTATTTACCCTAAAGATACAAATGTAGTGATCTGAAGGGGCACGTGCACCCAAATGTTTATAGCAGCAATGTCCACAATAGCCAAACTATGGAAAGAACCTAGATGTCCATCAACAGATGAATGGATAAAAAAGATGTGGTATATATACACAATGGAATACTATGCAGCCATCAAAAGAAATGAAGTCTTGCCATTTGCAATGAGGTAGATGGAACTAGAGGGTATTATGCTGAGTGAAATAAATCAATCAGAGAAAGACAATTATAATATGATCTCCCTGATATGAGTTGAGAGGCAGAGTTGGGGGGGTTGGGGGGTAAGGAAGGAAAAAATGAAACAAGATGGGATCGGGTGGGAGACAAACCATAAGAGACTCTTAATCTCATAAAACAAACTGAGGGTTGCTGGGGGGAGGGGGGTATGGAAAGGGTGGTGGGGTTATGGACATTGGGAAGGGTATGTGCTATGGTGAGTGCTGTGAACTGTGTATGCCTGATGATTCACAGACCTGTACCCCTGGGGCAAATACTACATTATATGTTAATAAAAATAATTAAGAAAAAAGAAGAGATGCAGTGAAGGTATCTATCATGCTAGGCTGAATGGGTAGAGATCAAGGGCTTAGCAGGCTTCTGAGGCTCTTGACTGAAGTAATGAATAAAGAAGGTCTAGCTTTAGGGACCTAGGAAAGGCCTAAGAGTACCTGGTGGGGGTACGGAGGACAGGGTAGAGAGGTGGGTATCAAGGGGAAAACTCTAGGTTAATATCTCAAAGTATTATCCCACTGCACAAATATTAATGAGTCTGTATTTAATCCTTGATTTTTGGCACAAGGCAGCAAGCAGTAATAAACCTGTAAACTATTTTGACTTTTTCATTCTGAAGATATAGCTCAGGTAGGATATTGTTTTCAAAAGTCCAGTGCTGTCCAAATTAATAGTTAAAATGCAAAGGGGTGATGTTGCCTGGTGCTTCAAACTTCCTTTTCTTCTCTTTCTGTATTTCAGTGCTTTCTCTACTCTGAGTTGTTTCTGTTATCTTGATTTCTTCTGTCCTGGGGAAAAAATGAGATAAATTAATTCATGTTGAAAGTCTCTGTCTTCTGGAAGTATTTACATTTTAAAAGAGAGTGATAGGGATAGGTCCCTGTTTAACACAAAGGAATGGATCACTATAGGTGGAACTCAAGATAGTAGGAGGGCAGAGATTTTTATCTTCTCATTATAATGGTTCAAGGTAAAGGAATGGCATTCTCTCTCCCTTCCCTGAAAGGCTAGAACAAATCAGGTAAGCAAGGAATGACTCAGACAAAGAAGAGGACCCCTGAGGCAGAGTGAAAGGCAGAATTACAGAGCTGTGGTCAGAGGAGCCAGTTGGAGATAGGCCTGGAACCTGGCTGGTGAACTGGAACGTTAGGACAGGTTGAGAAGTGTGGAAGAGGCTGAAGCTTTCCTGGGTGAAGTCTGTAATAGGGAATGGGACAGGCGATTTGCTTTATTTATGTGGTGTGTGCTTGTTGTGTGCTTAAAGATACTGAACCAGATTGTTTAAAGGTGATGATGATATCATGAGGAAAGTAGACTCCCTAAAGTTCCTACCATGCAAATATGCTGTTTCTTGCTTTTGAAATTTGGTCAGAATTCATTTTTAAGAGTTGATATTTGTATATTCCTTAAGTATCAAGCTAAGTTCATTTTAATACATGGTTTACGGATGTATATTATTAGTGCCAAAGTTATAAAAATTCTGTCTTAGTCCATTTGGGCTGCTATCACAAAAATACCATAGACTGGGTGGTTTATAAATGACAAGTTTCTTTCTTTCTTTTTTAAAAAAAGTTATTTATTTATTTATTTATTTGAGAGAGAGAGAGAATGAGAGAGAGAGAGAGAGAGAGCATGAGTGGGGGAGGGTCAGAGGGAGAAGGAGGCTCCCCACTGAGCAAGGAACCTGATACAGGACTTACCCAGGGACTCCAGGATTCTGACCTAAGCCCAAGGCAGTCCCCCAACCAACTGAGCCACCCAGGCATCCCATGACAAATTTATTTCTTACAGTTCTGGAATCTGGGAAGTCCAAGATCAAGGTGTTGGCAGATTCTGCCAAGATCCACTTCCTGGTTCATAGACAGCGATCTTCTTGCTATGTCCTCACATGGTGGAGGGGGTGAGAGAGCTTTCTGGGGCCCCTTTTATAAGGCACTAGACCCATTTATGAGGGCTCCACCTTCATGACCTAATCGTCTATCAAATGCCCCACCTCCTAATACTATCATGTTGGGAGTTAGGATCTCGACATATTAATTTTAGGGGGATGCAAACATTTAGTCCATTAACACAGTGTTATTTCTAACATCTTCCAACATAGTTTCATTCCATTTTTGGCCCAGCAAAGTGGACCAAGGGCAGTATAAAAGGAATCGCCTAGAATGTTCTCATGCTCCCACTATCCAGCCTGACCTGCCCACACGTGGCTCAATATCTCCTTACTAGACATAGCTTGTCTCATCTCATCTGTAGCTTCTTAGTCAACCCTTCAGCTGATTGGCTGGTTGTGATTCTGGATTTTGGCACCATTTTCTTGCCTTCCTGATCACAGGTCTTTGCTTCTGGCCAGATTCTAGATCAATGTGCCAGGCCCTAAGTCTTTCCTTTGGCACATTATTGTCCAGACATAAGGGCATCGGTTAGGGTTATTAGGGTGGGGAGGGTCAAGATCGGGAGTAGAACCCAAATAAAAACATATAAGCTATACTCTAATTTCTTCCACTTGTCTTTATTTATTTAAAAAGATACTATATTTTGGGTACTCAATGTAACTTCATAAAAAGTTCTTTTCAATAGCTTGGTTGTAGATTTACTCTCACAGATGGCTAATTAATTAAAATAAACAATTTTCTATGCTTCCATCTTTCTAGGTGACAAGCCATCAGAGCATACCTCTAGAGTCAGATACTTCTGAAGAATTACTAGCAAAAGGGATTATTGGTTGCAGTTTCACAAAGCTTGCTTGGGAGACTCTTCTGAGGTGAAGGGAAAGTT